GTGTACTGGACACATGAGTTGTTATTCATTTTATTATTGAAAAATTAAATGGCAATACGTGTTGGAGTCGAGTACATTTACCTTAGTATTTTAGATAAGTCAGCAATATTAGTAAGTAGGTTAAATAGGTTTATTAACATGTAGAAGGAGAATAGAATAGAATAAGTCGTCGATGCGTTAACACGAAAATGTTAGTTATAAGTATTATTAAATAAACGCAGTTATATAAAATCCAAAAAAGCCTTTTTCTCCTCTCTCGAGGAATCTGGCATCATAAATAAGTTGATCATTACAGGCGCTTTGTCATGGAGAGATAGCCTGCTGTGACATTATTAGTCCCCATCATCAAAGTTCCTGGGAAGTGAGTCTGCATGAGAAGCTCTAACGAGGCTCTGTTGGAGTCCGTAAAACTACTTTTAGGCCGCTTAAGGCCTGTTTCACACATATGCGGTTCCATTCGGTTCGGTTCGTTTTCGATTCGTTTTCGGTCGTTACCGACAAATGTGAAACGATGTTTCGGTTCGTATTCGGTTTCTAATAGAAACCGTACAACACCGAATACTCCCTCGACACGAACAGGTTTCATCATGTTTGCATTAGGTATGAATTCGAGTGCAGGCAACAGAAAGAAATCAGTGCGTTCATATTCTCACGGTTTCGACGTAATAGCAAGATTCTTTTATTTTTAATTCTCTATTTTCTTTACAAAAATTACATTTTTGTGCTAAAATGAATAGGTCTTTAGCAGAAGATGTTGATATAGACAGACTGATTAGTGCGGTACAGTCTAAACCTGTGTTGTGGGACAAAACCTGTGAAAAATATAAGGACAAGTTGAAGACGCAGGAAGCGTGGAAAGAAGTGTGTAGTGAAATTGTGAATGACTTTGATAAATTTGACGCCATAAAAAGAACGGAATTGGGTAAGTATTGAAAAATTCATTTTTGTAAAGTGCGATTAAACAATCGCGTACATCAAAATAAATAAGCACATGTTATAGAGTACATGTAAAACAATGTCTCTATGTCATAGAATAATGTATTTTGATTAAGTTTTTGTGATAAGTATAGTGCGATCAAAATATCGAACATGGTACATTTCATAGAGTTAACCCTAGAACCACAACGTGGCGTCGTATGCGACCGCAAGAAATTTAAATCTTAACGTGCGCTTGCGCTATATGACGTAGGTGATCACGCGTCTCAGTACCTTTTAGGTTAAGAGTGAAAAGTGTGTAGACGAATCAGTTCCAAATTTAAACAATTGTATCTGTGTCAAAAAAATTAGCCGTCGTATACGACGCCACGTTGTTCTTTAAAACATAGAAATTCCAGAGGTATGTGCTTCTGTTTGTATTTTGTTTTATTTATTTTTATGCAAATATATACCTTGTAGAGCAAATATGAATGAAAGAAAACGTCCCTTGTCTCAGATAGAGTTAGAAAGAATAGCACTTGCGATTCAAAATGACGAATTGGAGGACGATGAAGCAGCTGAAAGTGAAGAAAGTGAAACAGAAGATTTTACAACAAATGAAATTTTAGAAGACGACGAGTTTGATGCAGCTGAACCACAAAATACTAATGAAGAAAGTAATCAGTGTAATGACGTGAGCGATAATACTGCAGCTTCTTCAAGCAGTTATGAGACAGAAAATAGGAAAGCGATATATGCGAAGAATGGTCGTAAATGGTATTTGAAAAGTTTTCATGCTAGAAATGCAAGAACTGCCCGGAAGAACATTGTACTTCATTTACCCGGTCCAAAAGGTTGTTTGCGCAACTTGAAATGCATACGTAAAATTTGGAATTCATTTTTTACTGACGAGATCCTCGACATAATTGTTCAATATACAAACCACCAAATCAATATAAAAAGGACACGTTATAAAACCGCTCAGCGATATATTGGTGAAACAAATGTTGTTGAATTGCGTGCTTTACTTGGTCTTTTATATCTTAGCGGTGTTATGAAAAGCGCGCATCTTACCCTACATGATTTATTTTCATTAGAGTTAGGACCTCCGGTTTTCAGAGCAACAATGTGTAAAAACCGATTTGAATTTCTGATCAATTGTTTGCGGTTTGACAATAAAGCGACAAGGGAAGAAAGGAAAAAACAAGACAAATTCGCTGCTACCAGAGAGATATGGGATATTTTTGAGGGATGTTGTAGAAGAAACTACAGCCCCTCAGAATATGTAACTATTGATGAAACTTTACTGGCATTTAGAGGACGATGTCCTTTTAAAATGTATATCCCTAGTAAGCCGGATAAATACGGTTTAAAACTTGTGACCATGTGTGATTCAAGAACATTTTATATGTGCTCGGCCAAGCCTTATATCGGTAAAGAGGTCAGGGAAGGACCGTTTTCCATTCCGACACATTATGTTTTGAACTTGACGAAAGAAATTCAAGGCTCAAACCGAAACTGCACAATGGATAATTGGTTTAGTTCATTAGAGGTAGCGGAAAAATTATTAGAACTCAAGCTAACCATGGTGGGAACCTTGAGAAAGAACAAACCAGACATACCAAAACAGCTTGTGGAAACAAAAGGAAAAGCGGTACAATCGAGTATGTTTGTACATAACGACCAAAGCACTCTGGTTTCGTACGTCCCAAAAAAGAACAAAACAGTTATTCTAATATCAACAATGCATACCCAACCAGATATAAATGAACACACCAAAAAGCCAGAAATGATCATGTTTTATAATGAAACAAAAGGTGGCGTTGATACATTCGACCAGCTATGTCATTCGACGACAGTGTCCAGAAAAACTCGTAGATGGCCACTAAGAATCTTTTATGGAATGATGGACATTGCAGGAATCAACTCGTATGTCATTTACAAATGGAACGAGGATGCCGATAAACCAGTTCAACGGTCAGCCTTCCTAAAGCAACTGTCTATGTCACTGGTAGAAGAACATCTTAGAGGCAGGATGAATAATGGACGACTTCCGAGGGAAATAAGAAGTAATATTCGCCAAATATTAAAGTGCGACGAAGAAGAGGTATTGCAAAGGGCTGAGGGGCCATTAGGTCGTTGTGATTACTGCCCCAGGGCAAAAAACCGTAAAGCGCGAAACAAATGCGAACATTGCAAAAAAAGCGTATGCGCCGAGCACCGCCTCAGCATTTGTGTAGACTGCAAATAATAAAACTTTTATTTCAAATACCATAGTTTTTTATTTCAGTTTTAGCGTGGTTTCTTTCTTTTTATAAATAAATAAAATTCTAGTATTTACTTGAACTAAATATATTTTTCTACTCCCATATTAGTAAGTTACCGATTATGTACTGTTTGGTTACTAACATAAGTAAACGGACAATTGCGAACACTGTAACATAATGAACCGGAACTGTAATGTAATATTCATTACGTTATAGTTCCGGTTCATTCTGACCAATCAAAATCGAATCGAATTGGTAGACGCTGTTCTGACAGATACACGCTGTCAAAACGTCGTAATTCTGAAAAAAAATTGAAAATATATATACGATTTTTTTCTTTCGTAGAAATAGTATAGTACATAACTCGAATTGTAAGCTTATTACATGCTCGTAGAATTACTGCACTCGCCGCTACGCGGCTCGCGCGCAGCTTTCCTACTCGCATATAATAAGGTCCTTACAGTCCTCATAATGTAATATACTATTACAACCTTTCCAGTACTTCATTTGCTTTCCATATGTATAATTATATGGACGTTTTAATCCAAAAAACAAGGTATAAATAGGATTTTNTGTGTGACGTTTTGTTCGCACTATATTAAATGAAATCATATTTTAGAAAATTGCCAACTCACTGAACCCTGTTCAGTAATGAAGTAATTTTTCAAGACATCTCTTATATTTTTGGCAAACATAGTTGCCTGATTTTTCCTCATTTCACTCGAGGGGACATCTTCAAAACCTGAGATGGACAACGTGTTTTCCATTTCAAATCCATCTCGATCTCGAACGAAATTGTGTAAAACTACACAAGCTTTCACTATATCAGTAGCATAGTCAGGATCCAAATTAATTGCACGATGAAAAATTCTCCATTTGTTGCTAAGTATTCCGAACGTATATTCCACGTAACTGCGAGCTCTGCACACACGATAATTGTAGACTCTTTTCTCTACTGATGTTTATGTAGCCCAAAAGCGTCATCTCCTATGAGATAGTAAGGTATTTTGGGGTTCTGTGTGCCTGGAAGACACTTGTCCTCAGGTAGATCCATGGTGCCGTTAATGATAGATTTCCACAGTTGTCAGCTTTGGAAAATGTTAGAATCACAGTCTTTCCCATATGCTCCAACGTTAGCGTAAACAAATCGGTATTCTGCATCAGCTACTGCCATCAAAACTATAGACGAACATCCCTTGTAATTTATATGCATAGAGTTGAGAGGGTGGACGATCCTTATATGTTTCCCATCGACGGCACCCAAGCAATTCGGGAAATTAGCGACAGTTTCAAATTTTTGTGCAATTGATTCCCATTTCCTCTTATCTGGAGTAGGAATGCATTCCAATCGTAATTCCGTCCATATTGCACAACAAACCTGTCTGACACACTTACTTATAGTCGAAATCCCGAGAAGATAAGTGTGATGCAAATCTGTGAAAGTACAACCACTTGCCAAATATCTGAAACAGAAAAGTAAAACCACCAGATTAAAATGTACTGTAATTTGTTAGAAAATGAAAGAAATGAGATTCATAGTTTTTGTGATCACTGAAATAAATATTTTCTTTCAGGAAAATACGTTCTTAAGAAATGGACGCAAGTGAGGGATTCCTATCGAAAATTTGTGGGCAAAAATAAAGCGAAATCCGGATCAGGGGCGTCAAAAACAAAATCTTACATTTATGCAACTCAGTTGCACTTTCTAGATAAAGTCTTCGAAGAAAGAGAAACTGAAGATACTTTGTCACAAAATATTGATGACGATGGATGCATTACGGATGCAACTGTTGAAAATAATGAGGACTACATGCAATCAGTTCCAAGCATATCAAGTGATGCTGTTTCAGCGGAAAAGCCTGAAACATTTTTCAAAAAACCTATTTTAAAAAAACGGAAAATGGATGCTGTCGAATTGGAGATGATTGCAGCCTTGAAGGAAACACCTAATCGACATCTTTCATTCTTTAAAGGATTACTTCCTTCCCTTCAAGATTTTGATGAATTCGATACGCTTGATTTTCAAATGGAGGTATTAAAAATCGTAAGGAAAATCAGGCAGCGAAAGCACCCTCTTCCTGCTATATCCAGTACAATATATGCCTCGCCATGTAGTACTCCTTCCATGGATTCTCCATGTAGTATTCCACTACATAAAGAATCCACTACAAATCCGCAGCACAATGCTTCAGCATATCAGAAGCCAGATCAGCCACAAGTGTCTGCTGTTAAATTTTACGAAGACTATCTTTCTTCTAATGACACTTCAGAACATACATTTCAAAATTTGTGAAACATAATGGTGAGAACAGGAGGAAGACGATAAAGAAAATATTTAAATAGTGTATTAAAGAAAAACAATTATCGTTTTTTAACGTCTTCGCTCTTCTTAATACCTGTGTTATAGCAGTTTTGTATTAAAATTTAAATAAAAGGGTTTCTTAAAAAATGTATTGTTTGTACTATCTTACCTCAAAGTTACGGCCAACATCTGAATTGGTTGAATACATTCTCTCATAAATGTATTTTGGCGTTGAAGACGGTCCTTTAGCTTTACGTGTAATTCGTCAAATGATTTTGTTGACATCCTAAAGTAATTAAAAAATTTGTCTTCGTGTTCTTTTAACTTCGGGAAAATTGTGTAGAATGCTCCAAATTTCAGTCGCGAAATGATGAGAGGGTGTCTCCAATAAATTCTGTTCTTCCTTCTTCGTTTTTTTATTCTCCTATGGAGAAACAACATGGCGACAACTTGATTTCTCTCCATTAAAGACAATCACTGACTCTTCGCGATCACTGTTCACTACGCTTCTGAACGCACAGAAAACACTACACCTAATATAAACCGTAAAAGAACCTCGTATGTGGGAAAGGGTTCCATTCGGTTCGGTTCATTCTCGGTTGCAACCGAAAACAAACCGAACCGAACGGAACCGCATATGTGTGAAACAGGCTTAACGCACCATTTTCTCGTAAGTGGTCATACTCATCTTCCTTCTGATAGGGACTTCGCACTTATAGAAAAGCGACACCGAAGGTATGCACAAGTTTTTTGTCCAAATGAATGGTACGATATTATACGGCGATCAAACAAAAAAACACCTTTTGCAGTCACAGTTATGACGCAGGAAGATATTTTAAACATTACACCTACTCTTACAAACATAAAAAAGAGTTCGCGCACCAATACTGGCCATAACTTAGACTTTGCTAATGCGTTTTCATTTCGATTTAATAATAAAAATACTAAAGTTTTTTATGGCAAACATTCCGTTCATGGTGAGTACGACCAGGTGTCTATCTCAAAACGAGGAAGACCAGTATACACTACACTTGATCAGTTAGATAGAAAGTATCTTGAACCAATTAAAATTTCAAAAAAAAAATACGACAATGTAAAGACATTGCTACCTTACATACCGGCTGTGAATCATGGTTTTTTCCAAAATTTACAGCCGAAAATAACTGAAAGTGCTAAAGAAACAGAGGAACCTGAAATTATTAATGAAGCAGAGCCATTTTCTTAGTTTAAACATTATTTCTTTATATTTATTTTCTTTTTTGAGTAATTGACTTATTTAGTTTTTAATTGAAAATGTTGTCGTTTGTTAGTGCAAAAGTGTTACAAGTCACAATTTTTCTAATAAAATTCTATTTATATATTTATTATAGTTTTCTATATATTTTTTTTATTATTTCAGTATCCTGGATAGATATATACAGTTGTGTTACTAATGTAAACAACCCAAAAGGTAAAAAGACCGAAACATTAATTTTACAGACTTTGTACAAATTTCAAAGTCGATTTTCCAATAATTTTATATTTGTGCCTTGTCATTGTTTCACACTAAGCCCTTCAATTGTAGATTGTGATAGTTTAAAACCAATCCGATTTATTACNACTTATTATTATTAAATTATAGTAAAAAATCATGTCAAAATATCATTCCTCTGGCATGTTATAACTGGAGACGTCTAACATTATGTACATATTAGACAAAAATCTATTAACATTCTTCATTTGTAATTTTACATTTTGATTAAGCAAACCTGAACTTTCAGTAAAACTAATATAAAAATATGTTTCACTTTAAAACTCCCCTCAAAAAGATGATAGAAACTATGTTACCACCTTTAGCGGTCATTCCTCTGGCTCGCAAGAAGTACGTAAATAATATGATGGTAGATGGCGATATGTCTTCGCACGCAACCAGATATGTTTTTCCTAACCTAGTTCTTGCAGAGTGTCAGTAAGCAAATGTTGTCGAACTAAAACAATACGTGTTCTTTTTAACGTTTTGTTCCAAATTGTTAATGTCACACGCAGATTGACCATTCCTCTGGTAAGTGTATTTACTTTATTTATATTTTTGTTGCATCCATTCCCTTATTTAAATACGAAATAATGAGTTTCCTTTCCGTGGACCAATCTGTAGGTTAGGATTCATTCAAATTTCCTAAACTAAAAACTAATCTGGATCTCAGTAATCCAGAGGACTGATGACAGACACAGAAGAATGACCGGTTCTAGAGATGTTTGAATTTTAGCAGATAAGAATGCCATTATCACGAGAAGAAAAACTAAAGCGCAAAAGAGAAGCCAAGAAGAGAAGATATGAAAGATTGAAAAGTGATCCTGAAGGAAGAGAAAAGCTAAAGATGAAAGAGAAATATCAGTATTTACGGAAAAAGGAAAATAAAGTAGTGAAGCCAATCAGTGAAATGAGTAAACGGGATCAGCGAATGAAAAGAAAACAATGGCGTATAAGTTCTGCAAAATACGGAGAAAAACAAAAGATGAAACGGCAAATTGACGAGTTTGTAAGAGAAAACACGCCACCGGATTCTTCCTACGCCTCTCCTGATGGAACTGAAGCCAACCAAGTAGATGCGCACAAAGTTTCTTCTGGAAAAGGAAGAACTGCAAGAAACAGAAAAGCTAGGAGTCGCAAATCCAGAGAAAAAGACAAAATTATTTCCAAGTTGAAAAGCAAGCTTGCAATTTATAAAATTAAATATCACAGACTTCGAATCAAAAGTGAAGAAAATAAAGCAAAGATGCCTCCAACATTAGCCGACGTTTCACCGAACACAAGAGTAACTGAGATTATGAGGGATACATCACAAACTGGGGACGTCAGAAAACGACTTTTGTTTGGTGAAGTGATTCGTGATCAACTTAAAGATAATTACAAAAGACTTAGCAGTGACAAAGAGAAACAGAAGTTTAAAAGTGTATTAACAGGTGTTGTAAATCAATTAAATAAAAAATACACGTTAGGCAACCAAGGTTGCACGAACACTAAAGACAATTGGCAACATTGAATGGTTGGCAATAAGGGCGAACGTAAAAATTATCGATTTTGTCAAGTTTTAGTTCACATATACGTTTATTCTCCTCGTCAGAAGTAGATGTTAGTTGTAATAATAAAACCGCTATCAAGTACAAACGGTCAAAGTGTGTGATATAAAACCTAAAAACCTTCCTGACCCAAAACGGTTAAGAAAAAAACCATTTTAAAAAGTACCCTTTATGAGACGATTACCAAAGTTTTAAAATGTCGTAATTTACCGATTTTAGGTAGATTCCTTTACACAATCTAGTGTATATTGAGGAAATCGCACATTTTCACTTGGTGCAGCTTCCCGCGATAAAGGCAACTTTTCTGCGCTTGTACTAACGTGAAATCTATTCCTATAATATATGTGCAAAAAATGACACCTTTGTTCTCCCGTTTAAGTGTATACGTTTCACATAAATCGCATTATACGAACTCATTATTATGGCAAAGTTTAGTAATTTTTTATGATTAACAGTCTAATTATTTTACAACAAAAAATACATCATTTTGTACAAAAATATGTTAACAACAATCCTATGTATTTAGTTTTGAATAAAGATGTGAGAGAAAGCCGCGAAGCTGCACCGAGTGAACCCCTGTCGGCTCATATAAAAATCGCTATTGAACGGCGGCCTTAACAGAAATTGCAAGAAAATTTTTATCGGCCCCTGCTGCCAGCGTATACAGTGAAAGAGTTTTTCCCGAAGCCGGTAATATTTATGACCAAACTAGAAGCAGATTACTACTGCCAAGAAATGCAGAAAAATTATTGTTTATCCACCACAATCTGCACAAAGTTAATTTTGAATATTATTTTTTATTATATTAACTTTGCAGGTATGTAATTATTGTAATTGTTATTAATTACACTGTGGAACATTTTCGGGGTCATTGTCTGGGGGGTGAGAAATTTTAAGTCAGGGTGAAAGTACTAGGTCAATATATGTAGTAAAACCTCCAAAGGGTTTGACGTTCTCAGGCCAAACTTATTTTTTGTGACCTTTTATATTTCCTTCCTTATCTTGATGTTTGTTTGCTTAGTTTTTCAATTATAACTCAAGAATCATTGATGATTTCTCATTTCATTCTTCAGCAAAGACTAAGGCTTAGCTAAGGGTTAAATAAATAATTTTCATTAATATATCCATGTAAAAAATTAAGTTGGACTAATTTTATCGACTGAAATCTTCAAAAAATTGTCAAATATCGAAAATAAAAAAAAAATTCTCTTTGAAAAATAACGTCTTTACTCGAGAGTTCTACGAATTGTAACTAGAAAAGAGTATTCTAATATAAATATATAGAAATATAGTAGTACTATATTAGAGAGAGAGAACAATATTTCTTTGGGATATAAAAATAATAACTATAACAAATACGAATAAATAAAAAAAAATACATATATAAAACAAATATGAGATAAGTCCAAAAGGGCTATAGACCCGATATATTTTATGAAAATTAACAAAAATTAAGGACAAACTCAGTTTAAAGAAGAACAAAGTTTATATGTTCATAAACAAAGGCTTAGACTCTAGAGCAGAGGTTGGCAACAGGCGGACCGCGGTCCGTATACGGACCGGGGAAGTTCGAATCTCGGACCGCCAAATATTCTTAAATACAGCTTGTCAAATCTAGGAAGAGACGTGGAAATGTAAGAAATAAGAACCGCCTTCGATGCGCAGTAATCCGTTAAGTCACAACCCTCACAAACTTCATTTTTACGAAGTATTTGGAGGTGTTCACTTCGAATGACCTGCATAGGAAAAAAATTATTCCATGAGCGTGCAGTCGCTGCGTATATACTACTCCCCTCAGTGCGCAACTCGCTATCCGCTATCGCTATCGTTTTCACGTCTCTTCCTACATTTGACAAGCTGTACAGTCCGACGTCCAACTAACAATAAGTATCCCGTGGTATCCCAGCGCCTCGTTCGCACTAGGCTAGGTCGATCCATTTCATACTATTTCTCTCGGCGAGTAGCGCCTCCCACTACGCATCACTACTCACTAGTCCATTTGATAAACAATTTGTTTACAAATGAACTAGTTTTCACATTTGTTTTACAATTTGTCGTGTAAAAAACCTTTTCGTACATACATACCTACATTAATAATGGGCCCTAAAAAGCGAAAAGTGGACACTGAAAATAGGAGATTTTTGACTGAATGGACTGAACAATATTGTTTTACGCTGCCTGAGAGGCCTCAAGCGGTTCCAGTTTGCTTAATATGTAATAAAACTGTCGCTGTTATTAAAAGTGGCAATTTAAAATAAAAGCGACACTATGAAACAACCCATCAGCAATTCCACAAAAACTTTCCTCTTGGCAGTGAGGCTCGTAAAGAAAAACTACTGGTAATATAATTCTATTAAATAATGTATAAATGTGATATGTATAACTGCTTTGTAAACTTATCACGATAAAATTTAAATTACAGGAATATCTCACGTCCTATGAAAAAAGCACGAAATTGCTTGTTCGCTGCATGAGTGAGCAAGAAAAATCGGCAGAAGCAGCGTTACGTGTGTGTTGGACACTTAATAAACACCAGAAACCATTTTCAGATTCAGAAATAATGAAAGAATGTATGTTGGAAGTAGCCTCGGCACTTTTTGGAGAAAAAAAGGATGTAGTCGCTGCAATTCAAAGTATTCCAATGTCGGCAAGAAGTAATACAAGAAGAATGGAAATTTTAGCTACTGATATTAAAAGCTCTCTGCTTGAACTCTTGGAAAAGGCACCATGCTACGCCATTGCACTTGACGAATCATGTGATGTTGTTGATGATGAACAAATATCTATTTTCGTGAGATTTTTCGACGTTGAAAATAAGATATTCAGAGAAGAATTGCTCGCAATATTGCCTTTGAAAGGTAACACTCGAGGAGAAGATTTATTCAAAGCTATTGACAAATTCATTAATAATTCCAACATTCGTTATGATAAAATAGTGTCGCTGTCAACTGACGGTGCTCCAGCGATGATTGGCAAAGAAAAAGGTGTAGTAAAGAAAATCAGGGATAAGAATCCAGGTCTAATATCGTATCAGTGTATAATACATCAGACTGCCCTTTGTGGAAAACTCAGTGCTACACTGAAAAAAGTAATGGACAGCTTGGTGCAGTTAATTAATTTTATGAGATCTCATTCTTCTCTTCAACACCGAAAGTTCAAGAAGTTTCTTTCAGAATGTGATGCAGTGTATTCTGACTTATTACAACACAACAATGTTCGTTGGTTAACTAAAGGTCAAGTTGTTGAACGTTTCTGGCTAATAAAGGAAGAAGTAACCTCCTTCTTGCAAACCTTGGATACGCAGGGAGCAAAAAAGCACTTAGAGTTCATAACAAACCAGCGCAATATGCTAACTGTGGCTTTTCTGAAGGATATTCTGAAATACTTAAATGCGCTCAACATAGAGTTACAAGGGAATGGGAAATTAATATTTGATCTGATACAAAGCGTGTCTGCTTTTTGTCGTAAGCTAGATATTTTTGAAAAAGATATTGCAAGGCACGAATTTATTCATTTCCCAACAATTCTTGAGTATAAAAAAGAGAACTCTGAAGAAGACGTTGCAGTGTTTGTAAGATTTCTGTCCGATCTAAGGGACGAATTTGCTACAAGATTTCAAGACTTTGCAGAAATTGAAAAGCTGTCTCAATTCCTAAAATTTCCTTATCAAGTTGATGCATCGGCAGAATGGACTGATGTGGCTGCTAAGTTGTTCAGCGTTTCAAAGTCTTCACTTCAAGTGGAGATAATCGACTTGCAAGAAGATATTTCTTTGCAAATGTATAAAACTGTATCCACTGAAGAATTTTGGGGTAAACATGTTTCAGAAAAATATGAAAATTGTAAGAAAATAGCTATCAATCTTGCCACTATGTTTGGTTCGACATATATATGCGAATCGTCGTTCTCGAAAATGAAACGACCACCTCGAAGACATACTTCGCATTTGTGTACCCCTCGTACACCGAACTTTAAAAAACTGGCCCAAGACCGTCGTTGTAATTTCTCACATTGAATATATTACAATATTAACTGAGAATTACTTGTTTTACTTGGTTTACCCTTTTTTTGGAAACTAACTCGACTTGAAAACAAAATAAAAAACAGTACCTTTTAATTATTAGTTTTTATCTGGACCTCCATAAAAAATTTTACACCGAATCCGGACCCCACTGAAAACTACTTGCCGACCCCTGCTCTAGAGTCTAAGCCTTTTCGATGGTGATTGTTCTGGGCTAGTGTCATTGCTATCGCAATCATCGCTGTCATTAGTTTCTATGCCACACATAATGTCAACTTGTGACTCCATTGCTGACCCTACTGCAATAACTTCTGGAAATTCTTCATCAGGATAATCCATGTCTTCGAAGACATGTCTACTCCACCAGCAAATTTCCGCAAGTATTGCACTCGGCGACTGTTTTCCTCTGTATCTGTGATTTGTTTTTTTATTAAAATGAGTTTGAAAAAAAATCTCACAGATATTACCTAATTTCAAATGACATAGCAACTTGATGGTAGCGTTCGCCTTGTTCATCAGATTCAGTGGCCAATTGTCTGCTGAAGTAGTCCAGATGATGATGTAAATAGTGAATTTTCAAGGACATGTGGACGTCAATTTTCGAGAACGATGTTAACATCCTTGCAACAGAAACATTGTAATTGCTAGAACGATGTTTTCCCAACAAGCCCTGCCGCAAACTACGTCACACCATTTGCCACGCCCCTCAATGACAGTTAACAAGGCGTGGCGAATAGGCACGCCCCGTAATGACAGATAAGGGCGTGGCAAATAGCCACGCCCCGTAATGACAGATAACAGGGCGTGGGCAGGTTGTCACAACAATGGATGTAGCAGTCCTGTTAGATTCTAGTGTCCTTGATCATTTTACATGGACATAAACATTCAATTTAACGCGAAAAATGGAAGTGTGCAAGCCAGATATAAATAGCTTTTGCTATTGCTGCGGTAAATATGTACCAAAACATGAACAAAAGGGAAATTTCAGTGCATATTTTGTTCAAACATACGAGATGTACTTCCACCAAAATGTTATTGTAAACAAAAATTGGGTTCCAAATATAGTGTGTAAAACTTGTTACAATCGTCTAATGGATTGGAAAAATAGAAGACGTGAATCGATGCCATTCGGTATTCCAATAATTTGGACTAATCCGGGCGACGGTCACAATCCATTGAATTGCTACGCATGTGCCAATAAAGGAGCCGCATTAAGAAAAACGGCAAGAAAATCGTATAATTGCGTTGGTGTTGCAAGTGCCCAAAGACCATTGCCTCATTCGGGCTACATTCCTGTGCCAAAATGTTTCAGCCCAGATCTATCTTCTGTGACTACTCCGACTTTTACACCAACATATGATTCAAGTGATGATCTCCCATATGATCCCGAACCATCTGTATCCAATCAGCCTATTTTAATAAATCAAAATCAGCTTGATTCCATCGTTGCTAAATTGGAATTAACACAGCATAAATCAGAACAGCTGGCTTCGTTTTTGAAATCAAACAATCTTTTGGCACCCGGTACGAAAGTCACAGCTTATCGAAGTCGTCAGTCAACACTCCAAAGTTTATTTGTCGTGAATGATGAAAAAACTTCTGCATATTGCTCGGATGTAGGAAAATTGATGGACGTAATGGAAATAAAATATGAAGCAGATGACTGGAGATTATTTATTGACAGTTCAAAACTCAGCTTAAAAGCGGTTTTGCTGCATAAGACCAATGAAAAACCTTCTGTTCCAATCGCGTATAGTACAGAAACGAAAGAAACATATGATGCACTACAACATATTTTAAAAATGGTTAACTACACTAAACATATGTGGCGCATATGCTGCGATTTAAAAGTTGTAGCATTGCTTTGCGGTCTTCGAAGCGGTTATATAAAATATATGTGCTTTTTGTGCGATTGGGACACAAGATTTACCGGAGTCCAATATGCATGCCACGAATGGAAACATGGAGAGCACAGCAGCTTAGAAATGGCGAATATTGTTCGTGAACCTCTGGTGCCGAAAGAGAAGATATTGCTGCCTCCGCTGCACATTAAACTTGGAATTGTTAAGAATTTCATCAAAACTGTCGCCAAACGAGATACAGTTTTCTTGTGCTTGAAATTAATTTACCCGAGACTCAGCGAAAGTAAAATTAAAGAAGGTAGTTATAATAACATTCATTTGTTCAATTTTGTGGAAAATTCCAACTTTTCCAAACATATTACTCATGATTTTCTATCGCAATAAATTAATTTTTTCCATCAGGTGTACTAAATGGTCCAGATATACGAAAGCTTATTAAAAGTGACGCATTCAACAATATTTTGATTGAGGCTGAATTGGATGCTTGGAACGCAATTAAAGAAGTAATAGAAGGCTTGTTGGGAAAGCATCGTTCTAGTAACTACAATGTTTCTGTTGTAAGGATGTTAACATCGTTCTCGAAAATTGGCGTCCACATGTCCTTGAAATGCACTATTTACATCATCATCTCGACTACTTCAGCAGACAATTGGCCACTGAATCTGATGAACAAGGCGAACACTACCATCAAGTCGCTATGCCATTTGAAATTAGGTAATATCTATGAGATTTTTTTTCAAACTCATTTTAATAAAAAAACAAATCACAGATACAGAGGAAAACAGTCGCCGAGTGCAATACTTGCGGAAATTTGCTGGTGGAGTAGACATGTCTTCGAAGACATGGATTATCCTGATGAAGAATTTTCAGAAGTTACAGTAGGGTCAGCAATGGAGTCACAAGTTGACATCATGTGTGGCATAGAAACTGATGACAGCGATGACACTAGCCCAGAACAATCACCATCGAAAACGCTTAGACTCTAGAGTCTAAGCCTTTGTTTATGAACACATAAACATTGTTCCTTATATTTGTTTTATATATGTATTTTTTTTATTTATTCGTATTTGTTATAGTTATTATTTTTATATCCCAAAGAAATATTGTACTCTCTCTAATATAGCACTACTATATTACTATATACTTATATTAGAATACTCTTTTCTAGTTACAATTCGTAGAACTCTCGAGTAAAGACGTTATTTTTCAAAGGGAATTTTTTTTTTATTTTCGATATTTGACAATTTTTTGAAGATTTCAGTCGATAAAATTAGTCCAACTTAATTTTTTACATGGATATATTAATGAAATTTATTTATTTAACCCTGAGCTAAGCCTTAGTCTTTGCTGAAGAATGAAATGAGAAATCATCAATGATTCTTGAGTTATAACTGAAAAACTAAGCAAACAAACATCAAGATAAGGTAAGAAATATAAAAGGTCATAAAAAAAAAGTTTGGCCTGAGAACGTCAAACCCTTTGGAGGTTTTACTATATTGACCTAGTACTTTCAGCCTGACTTAAAATTTTTCACCCCCCAGAATGGCTGTTGTACTGTGTTATTAATTTAGCATGAAACTAGTAAATACCTAATTTAAAGCATTATTCCTAAATCAAAAAAGCTTGTTTTTTGCAATTCATTCATTGTGGTAAAAATTTTAACTTACAATTTAAAAAAAATTAAAAAATATTCGGCAGAGTATTCGGTGCTCCGGCCAAATTATAGGCCGAATATTCGGTATTCGGTTATTCGGCCAAAACCCGCTTCGGTCCATCCCTACACGGAATGGGTTAGCAACTTGTTATTAATAAAAAAATCGAACAGTTTTCGTGTATGTCTAGACCCAATACCCTTGAACAAAGCGTTAAAAAGGCCGCACTATCAGTTCAATACATTAGATGAAATACTACCGGAATTAGGTAAAGCAAAGGTATTTTCTACGGTCGTTACAACAAAAGGATTTTGGCATCTGACATTTATTTATTTTATTTATTTTTGAATAAATAAAATGACAGAGAAAAGTAGCAAATTGACGACATTCTGGACACCATATGGTAGATATCGGTGGCTACGATTACCATTTGGAATTGCCCCAGCGCCAGAATTATTTTCGATATAAATGCAAGAAATTCTGAATGGTTTAGAAGGTTTAGATGGACGAGGGGACACTATGGGAGAAGCTATGAGCGACCAGAATCTGAAGAACTTGTTTACACAATTAAGAACAAGAAATGTTAAACTTAACAAATCAAAATTGAATTTATGCAAAAGTGAAGTCAAGTTCTATGGACATGTTCTAAGCAACGAAGGGCTCAAACCAGACCTATCTAAAATAAAAGCAATTACTGATATGCCGGAGCCTAAAAACAAACAAGATTCACATAGATTTCTAGGTATGGTGAATTATTTAGGACGTTACATCAAGAATTTAAGTTGCAAAACAGTGGAATTAAAGTTTCTTTTAGTATACGAATAAAGACATATATTATTATTATAAGAGACTAGATTTATATGCTTTTGCATGTTTTGCATATAACTTCATATTTTGCATTTTTATCGCATATAAATTTAGTTATCCATATAGTTCGATATAATCGCATGTAATTTCATATGAGCGCATATTTTGTCCACATTTCAATATAACAGCAGTTAATTTGATACTGGCGGTATCTAATAGTAGACAGAGAATTAAAAGTGCGACAGTGGTCTGCTTTACAACATAACTTTAATTGTGTCGTTCCCAGCCGATTTTCGTAACATAACCTCTAAATCATTTCAAGCCACACAAGTGTTCAAGTGATTTATACGTTAAGTTAGTGTGTTAAAAAAACAATAAATCATAATGCCGAAAGTGGGTTCTTCTAAGGCCGAATTGCTTAGGAAGTGGATAAAAATATCTAATCATCTAGTGACTGACGGGAAAGTTGGTTTTTGCAACACCTGTTCCAAACAAGTACATATAAATTAAAATTTGAAGGTTTTTTTTTCTAGAAGTCGTTGATTTTTAAGGTGGCGTGTAATTAAAAATATCAAATTGATCAGCATTTATCAACAACTCTCCACCAAGAATCGAAAAAAAGATCAGGTAGCAAATTCAACCAACAACAAATCGCTGGAAATGAGTTTTTTTTTTTTCGATTTATGCAACGCCATGGCCCAATTAAATATACCATGGAACAAATTGGAAAATCCAGAAACTTTACTGTTTCATATTTATAGCTATTGTCGTTGTAAATAATATCTTTTTATGCTGTTTTGTAATCTTTATATATTATATTTATATACTATTTGTTACAATGCAACATTAAAAGTAGTATTTATGTAACACATATGCGTTCTTTTTTGTTTTAACCGCATAATATATTTCATATTTCCGGAATATTACTGCATATTCTGACCAATTTCAACACATATAAAAAACTTATAAGGTGAGTGTCCCAATTGTTGACAGGGATCGAATAGTTGACAATTTGTTTTGTTAACGTGATATTAAGAATGGTATTTATGATAGGTTGATGTATGCGGCCTTATTTTAATCTCTAAAGTATGTACTCCCATGCAAAAAAAAAAATTTGGCAGTATCGGTCACGATAGAAACTATTGGCGCGAAATTAGTTCCGAGTGTAAGTACCTTCATTGAACATCTCCTGATATTTAGCGTTTTGTTTAAGGTAAGTAACACGCAAAAATTATTTATTTCAATGTTATTGTGTTTGTTTCTATATTACCTACTGTATAGTAACAATTATAAGGCATATACATACATGTTTTTATAAACATTATAAACTAAAATCATGTTTGAGATTAGAATAGGAGGGTTGTCAACTATTAGAACATACTTGACAGTGGTGTCAACTAAAGGACCAATACCATTTTCGCGAACGTTTTATATTTTCAAGGTAAAACTAGTTGGTGAATGGTATAAGACAACATATGTTCAAATGACTTATATAGGACAGACGGGTCCAATAATTGACATACCTGTCAACTATAAGAACATGTGACATGTCAACTTCAGGAACATCAGACGCAATAAATTATTAAAAATAAATAAAAATTATATTCTCTGGAAGATTTACAAAATGCCATTGCGGCAGTAAAGCGTGGTTCATCAGTAAATGCTGCCAGTAAAAACTTTAACGTTCCTCGAACTACAATTAAATACAAACTAGAAGGAAAGTATGAGCTAGATTGCCGAATGGGCCCCGAAACAACACTTACAAAGGACGAAGAGGAAACTTTGGTAAAGTGGATATGTTCAGTTGCCGATGCCGGGTTTACTGTAACTAGACTCCAACTTTTGGATTCAGTTCAAATGTTATTAAAAAAATTAAATAGGCTTAATAAATTTACCAAAAACCGACCAGGCAGAAAATGGTATAAATGCTTTTTGCGTCGGCATCCTATTATTTCAGAACGACTGACTCAAAATCTGACTAAAGCCCGTTCTGAAGTTACAGAACAAAAAATCCGTAATTGGTTTAATGAAGTTACTGACCACTTTAAAGCGAAAAATATTGAAGACGTCCTTAAAGATCCAAGTAGAATATTTAACCTGGATGAAACGGCGTTTTTCATGGCTCCTAAAGGTATTAAATGTTTAATGCGAAAAGGTGAAAAACTAGCTTACAATTTTATTAGCAACGACGATAAAGAGTGTTTAACTACTCTTATAACAGTTTGTGCTAACGGTTCTATTCTACCACCTATGATCATGTTCAGTTACGAGAGAATACCGGCATCAGTATCTAGTTTAATGCCCACCGGATGGTGCGTGGGCAAATCAGAATCCGGGTGGATGACTGGCCAAACATTTTTTGAATACATCGCGAACTGTTTTTATCCCTGGCTTATAGAAAATAACGCTGAATTTCCAGTCGCATTATTCGTAGATGGACATGTTTCTCATCTGACATTGGAATTAAGTGACTTTTGTGTGGAAAAAAAGATAGAACTTATAGCACTTTTCCCAAATTCAACTCACATTCTTCAACCGATGGATGTGTCAATTTTCCACCCCTTAAAAAATAGTTGGAAAACTGGTGTTCAACAGTATAAAATTGATAATGATGGTGGTAAAATAAAAAAAGAAAATTTTGGTCCTCTACTTAAAAAAGTGATTGATCAGGCAATAACACCTAGCATGATTAAAAACGGATTTAAAACATGTGGCTTATTCCCCTTTGACCAGAATGGTATTCCGTATGATAAATTCTTTAAGAATAGAGACCGTCCACAGAGTGTAAATGAACAACAAAAAATTTATCAGACGACAAAGAAAGAAGTAAACTTTTTTGAATATAAAATAGGACCCGAAAAAATAACTAGGTTTAAAGAATCTGGTGACATTTGGGAAGGTAACGTAGAGGATACTGCGTTATTTAATTTTTGGAGGCTGTTATCTGAAGAAGTTGAAGATCATACCATGGCAACTGGTAACAATGAATCTTCTCGCCATCTTGAAGACGGACAAAATGACGCTAGTTATTTGGAAGAAATAAATAATGATGATACCGATTATCGTCATCAGTTTGTTCAGTTGACCCCACCAAACCAACCAATACGTCAGTTATCCGTTGAAATAGAAAAGAGTGAGCCTAGACCAGCAATTGACATGTCGAATAAAACAAATAACTCTATTCCCAGTACCTCAAAAGATATTCCATCTCCATTTAAAGGAGCACTCTTTTGGCCAAAACCAATTACTAAGAAAACTGTAAGAAAAATTAAAGAAAAGATACCATCGGTAGCAACGTCCGATCAGTGGCGAGACTATCATCAAAGAAAAGAATTGGAGAAACAAAGGAAGGAACAAGAAAAAGAAGAACGCAAGAGAAAAAGAGAACTAGCAAAAATAGAAAAAGAAAACAAGTTCAAGTCCAGAAAAAAGATTAAGCCTAGCACAGAAAACGATGAATCCTCTTCGGAGTCCTCGGTTAAAATGAATATTCAATCCGAAGGAGAAGGAGATGGTTGGAATCAACAGTACGAGGCTAAATCTGATGGCGATGGTAATGAGAAACATGAATTTTTGAAGGACATATCTCCCAATGATTTTGTAATAATCCGTTACGATGATCATTATTACCCAGGTAATTTAGTAAATGTAATAATAATAATAAATGGTCAACTAATAACTAGGAAATCTCATTTTTAGGAAAAGTGGTTGAAAAGAATGAAAGAAAAAATGAATATAAAGTGTCTACTATGGCACGGAGCGGAATAAAAGACTGGAAATGCCTAACTACAAAGATATTATGTGGTATCCCAAAAATGACATACTTGAAATAATAAATGAACCTTGTCAGAAAACCTCGCGAGGGTTCTTTTCTGTACCAGAGATGGAAAAATATTTTCCTGAAATGTATTAACTTTTAACTTTTAGATTATAAATATTAGTTTAAAATTTTTAAATCAGCGTTTCTCAACCTGTGGTACGCGTACCCCCAGGGGTACGTGAAATGGTCTCAAGGGGTACGCGTAAAAGAAGATGTAATGGCGGACTAAGTAAAGAGAAAAGATAAAAAGCTGTTGTAATAAATGGCATTTCCATCCAAATAACATTTAATTATGACAAATCAAAATAAGTAATTGTTTTCTGAATGATGCCGAGTATTTTTATTACACAAAACGACAATAACTTAAAANGATGAAACGGCGTTTTTCATGGCTCCTAAAGGTATTAAATGTTTAATGCGAAAAGGTGAAAAACTAGCTTACAATTTTATTAGCAACGACGATAAAGAGTGTTTAACTACTCTTATAACAGTTTGTGCTAACGGTTCTATTCTACCACCTATGATCATGTTCAGTTACGAGAGAATACCGGCATCAGTATCTAGTTTAATGCCCACCGGATGGTGCGTGGGCAAATCAGAATCCGGGTGGATGACTGGCCAAACATTTTTTGAATACATCGCGAACTGTTTATCCCTGGCTTATAGAAAATAACGCATTATTCGCATTATTCGTAGATGGACATGTTTCTCATCTGACATTGGAATTAAGTGACTTTTGTGTGGAAAAAAAGATAGAACTTATAGCACTTTTCCCAAATTCAACTCACATTCTTCAACCGATGGATGTGTCAGTTTTCCACCCCTTAAAAAATAGTTGGAAGACTGGCGTTTAACAGTACAAAATTGATAATGATGGTGGTAAAATAAAAAAAGAAAATTTTGGTCCTCTACTTAACCCTTCCGCGTGGAAGTTAAAAAATTCAATTACTATGTGAGATGCGGGAATGCGATCTACTCTATGCTATCTACTCTAATGCGATCTTATGACGTACACGTGTACGGGACTCCGCAGTAGAAATAATTTTATGCATGACGTACACGTGTACGGCACTCCACGCGGAAGGGTTGAAAAAGTGATTGATCAGGCAATAACACCTAGCATGATTAAAAACGGATTTAAAACATGCGGCTTATTCCCCTTTGACCAGAATGGTATTCCGTATGATAAATTCTTTAAGAATAGAGACCGTCAAAAAGAAAACAAGTTCAAGTCCAGAAAAAAGATTAAGCCTAGCACAGAAAACGATGAATCCTCTTCGGAGTCCTCGGTTAAAATGAATACTCAATCCGAAGGAGAAGGAGATGGTTGGAATCAACAGTACGAGGCTGAATCTGATGGCGATGGTAATGAGAAACATGAATTTTTGAAGGACATATCTCCCAATGATTTTGTAATAATCCGTTACGATGATCATTATTACCCAGGTAATTTAGTAAATGTAATAATAATAATAAATGGTCAACTAATAACTAGGAAATCTCATTTTTAGGAAAAGTGGTTGAAAAGAATGAAAGAGAAAATGAATATAAAGTGTCTACTATGGCACGGAGCGGAATAAAAGACTGGAAATGGCATAACTACAAAGATATTATGTGGTATCCCAAAAATGACATACTTGAAATAATAAATGAACCTTGTCAGAAAACCTCGCGAGGGTTTTTTTCTGTACCAGAGATGGAAAAATATTTTCCTGAAATGTATTAACTTTTAACTTTTAGATTATAAATATTAGTTTAACATTTTTTAAATAAATAAACTATTTTTCAAAAAAAAAGCAAAGTTTGTCAAGTACTATTGGTACTTGAGGTATGTCAACTACTGGATTTTGGGGAAAAATTGCATGTCAACTAAAGGTACATTGTTAAAATATTCTAAAAAAAAATTGTGCACCTAAATACCGCAAAAAACATTTTACCCTTAATCTAAAACGTTATTCATTTCACTTTATCAATTCTAAAATATGCCTAACTCTAAAACTTGACTTGTAACAATTTTTTTAATAATTCTTTTTCTTATATTGTCAACTACTGGTACACTCACCTTACCAGTTACAAAGACTGGTGGGCCAAATATTATAAGAAGACTTGCAGGTCTGTTGAAACGAAAACTAAAGAATTGTTTAGCGTTTCTAAATACCGTCATTTTATTTTTGATGCTAACACTGAAGGCTTTGCAGCAACTGTCTCCCAGTTTATTGATGGGGCGTTTTTCTCAACATTTAGACTGATAAAACCTAACGTTATTCCACAACTTCCGGATAGTAAAGCCCATTCTGAAGGAATACCTCTAAATGAAAAGAAAGTTAAGGACCTGAGGATCGTCTAGCAATACTTCATAAGTGAAGATTTGGAGTGTTACTACCACATATTGTTTTGGAAAGTTACAAGTACTGAAAATACAGAATAAAGTTTTTTTATCAAATGTATGATATTTATTTTTACAAAACAATCGCGTATTTCTAATAGTTAAGTCAAAATTTCACCAATAAGATACCATTATGTTATTTTATGATACCGATTTGGAATAATTATCAAAATATTCGCAACCTCTAAACAATTACCGAAAATAATCTAAGCATTTGTGATATTACGAGTGATAATTTTAAATATAAATAAAAAAATCGAAACAAAAACATGTAAACATTGAAATGAGTGGAAAAAGTGTCCAACGTTTATAAAAGATTTTTTCTAAACACCCCTCTTTAGTAAAAATGTAGATTTTGTTTCACTACAAAACATTTCTATGGAACGAAATAAACAATTTATCCGTGAAACAACAAAAATAATAATAATAAAAAAGAACATTTTTGACATTTAAATGTCAGTGTTTTTCTTACTATAATTATTGTTTCATTTAAAATTTATAGACCTTTATTCAAAAATTAATTTGAAAAACAATAATAATAGTAAGTAAAACACTGACATTTAAATGTCAAAAATATTTCCGAAAAAAATTGCAAAGCCTACTAAGATTTTTACTAAGATTTTTTTTATTAAAAATTCATTGCAACTATCGATTAACAACCCTACAGCTTAACAGTTAGTGTTTGCTTAATTAATTCTTTTCTCAAAAATTATTAAACGTTCGAAGAACATCAGAGAGACAAAAAAGCTTTAGAATAGTTTTATCTATCTAACTGAAATTTTTCCCTGTAGATGTAGTTAGTCTTCATTGACATTTGCGGATATTTTTGACGTTTCTCATAATTTTTCATTAAACGTCAGTTGAAATCAAAACTGCGACAAAATTATAAAATTGGTTTTATTTTATATTTTTGCAATTTTGTTTGATTTAATGGGAAGCGAAAAACAGTTGTGTGTCACACGTGCAGAAATGCATTATCAGCCTCGGGCTGTTAATGCTTATTTTCTGCCCTTGAGACACAATATACTATTTTGTAATTCGCGACGGTAATGAAAGCTCTAACAGTACTCAAACGGGTGCTGTAATGAGACTCCTTACAGTATCCGATGCTGTAATGAGATTTTAGTAACATTTTATGGAACCAGTTCAAGTTGGTGACATTGGGTCATTAATTTTTTTAGTTGTCAATGTGACAATTTTTGTCTATGGATGTTTAAACACGTTCTTAGCATCGAATACAAGGTCCACAATGATGAGGACATTGAACACTGAACAATTTCTCTTATTTTGGGAGCTGTACATGAAACATTTTTTTCATGTGAATACATTTTGTGTTTTGACAGTTTCTAATTGTCAATTCTATTTTCAAGTGTTACGGCGTTACCAACTGCTGCATACCTATTTCCCTACATTGTCAAAATTAATTTAATTTTTGTCAAAAAAATAGGATAAAAACGCGATTTACAAAAAATAGCAGAAAAAACACATTTCATAAAACTTAAAGCACTCATTCATTAAAAAACTCGTAGCTTCGCCACTCGTTTTTCAACTTAAATTCGTGCATTTCAAACGTATTTTACGAAATTTGTTTTTTAATATACTATTTTATTATTGAGACTCTAAAAACATTCTCTTTACGATAGTATTTCGTTTTTCTTAAAAATTTATTTCTTTTCCCATTAAAAAGCAACTAACATTTTAATCTAGTAGCGCATGAATATTTTACTCGATGTTATTTTTGTAGCCGTTGACACAAAAGAAACAATTAAACTTTATTTTGTAATAAATATCAACTTTTTTAAACTCAAAATTAAAAATTTACATCAAATAAAAATTAGGTATTTACAAAAAATGCTCGAAATGTTTTCCTTCTTTTTCAATACATAAATTGAAACGTCGTTCAATGGATTCAATTGATTGACAGCATTGGTTGAACTTTTGAAGAACTATCTACCGTCCTCATACAAATTGAGGCGGTATTAAATTCTCGACCGCTATCACCAATTCCTTCCGATCCCAATTATTTACAACCGCTTACCCCGGCGCACTTTCTGGTTTTAGGCCCCTTGAATGAGACCGTTCCAGATCCAGATCTTACATCAATTCCTTTGAATAGATTGGATAGGTGGCAGCTACTGCACAAAATGTGTCAGGATTTTTGGTGTCGTTGGAAGAGCGAATACTTACATACCATTCAGATGCGCCATAAATGGAACACTACTTCTCCGAATTTGCAAATAGGCGATATGGTGCTTGTGGTAAATGAAAACACACCTCCGTTACAATGGAATTGTGCTCGTATCCTCGAAATTCACCCCGGGCCCGATGGCGTCGTAAGAGTAGCGACAATCCGAACAAAACATGGACGATTGCAGCGCCCCGTTGTTAAACTATGTCCGTTACCGATCAACCGATAACATCGATCGTTAACAAATTTATTTTGTATTGTATTTTCGAAATTTATTATGAATGCTCACTTGTTAATATTGATTTTATATTGTTATATTTATTTCTGCGTTCTTTACATTTGTTAATCAATTTAAAAAAAAAATCTCTTTTTTTGGGGTGGAGAATGTTTAGGCAACCCATATAACAACTTTTGTAACTATGACAATTTATTGATTTCATTCAGTTATTTTTAATAAACAGTAGCCATTTTCTGTTCGTTAATTAAAACGAAGTGTTTTTTCTCGATCCACTGCAGAACCCAATTTACAGAACAACTCAATTCTTTTTTGAACCATCACCCACATATATTCCCGACATTTGTCGCGCGAACAGTAGACAAGGCTCAATTAAGGTACAATTAGAATTCACGACCTTTGTGAAATCGGAGACGGTGCGAGATGAGGGTGGTGAGGATGTTGATAATGTCACGTACTCTATGAAGAATTTTAATACAAAATTCAGAGTCGTGACATTATCAACTAAGTTAGATGGGGTCTATGAGTTAATGGCTAACGACATCGTTAA